GTGAAAATTGTATATATACATATATTTTTGTTCCCCTCTCTCCCCTCTCCCAGATCTCGCTCGCTCACTCGCCTCTCTCACTTTATACAAAAACGCAAATGTATAAAATGCGTGAAAATTGTATATATACATATATTTTCGTTCTCCTCTCCCAGATCTCGCTCGCCACTCTCCCAGATCTTGCTCGCTCACTCGTCTCTCTCACTTTATACAATTGATCTTTTTGTATATGTATACCAAAGCAGATTATACAACTAATTTCTTTTGTATATGTATAGCGAAATATACATATTTATGTTTGCTATGGAGCACAATTATGCAAACTTTGCTATAACATACAAATATGAATTTCGTGTTTGCTATATGTGAAAGTTGCTCTTTAGAGAACTTCAAAACTTTCTAGTGTGTATGCTTTATGGACTTTTTATTCCTACAAGTTACTGTGAATTTGATAAGGATTCTATAAGGTCAACTACTTAATATTTTCGACATATACAATATATTTTTTAAAAAAATAAGATACACATAATACAATCACACTCTTCTAAAACCATTAAACTATATTCACCTAACTAATAAAAACAAATTCAAAGCACAGTCAATAACAGTAAATATCCCTGCAGTGCGAGATCCAAACTTAGTTAGAGCTCTAGACACGGTAGGAAACCAAAAGAAAAACACAGTAAATATATGTACTCTTTTGAATATGTAGATTTTCATTCTGAGTACTGTAATACATAGAGTTATTGCTATGAAATTGTAGTTGAAATGGTCAAACACGGTAAATTTTGATGAACTATTACAGGTAAAGTAAAATAAAAAAATGTACTTTCTTAACTACTTAAGTCCTACATCTCATCAGTATATATATGGCACTTGACAGTAACAACTAGCAAGCAACTAAACACAACCACCATCTTATTTAAGTTATTAATTACTACTCCTTCCGTCCTAATTTATATGACACTAGTGAATTCATCCGTGCTTTGCGCGGTCATCAATAACACAAATAATTTACTAAATATTATTTGAATAGAAAAGATATTATACATATAAAAATATATTTTTATGTATATTTAATAACTTTAGTCGAAATTTTTAAATATTTTTTAAGAATTTCTTCTTACATAAAAGAATATAAATAATTATATTATACCTTCCTATAAATGTATAGATGTATAATTTGGTTCCTCTAAATGTATAGATGTATAATTTGGTTCCATAGGAAAAAAACATGATTTTTTACATGTAATCATTTCTTTAGAAGTAAACGAACCTCTTGTAATTTATAATGATTTAAAAATAAATAACATAAATGCACTATTTTTCAAAGTAAAAAAAAAACAATAGAAGAAATAAATAAATATACTTTTAAAGAATAGATTATATATATTGGGTTTGTTAAATATAATTGATATACTTTCAATGTAAATAAGTAATGGTTACAATTAAATAGTGAGTAATGTTTTTTAAACTTCAACGTACCAATTAACTTTAACGAAGAATAATGATTTTTATAACGTGAAAAAATATAATTAACGTTCTTATTCTTAGAAAGTCAGTCAACTAATTATTATTATAATTTCAAAACATGATGAGCATGTAAGCCAAAATAAACTCAAACAATGGTGACCCAAAATGCCCTCTTCTCATATTTATACTATATTTAGGCTATTAATCCAGATACAATATATATTTGACTAAATATTCATACATCATCTTCTTGTTTTTTAATTTTAGAGATAAATCTAGTACTAATTTATAATCCCCCAATATAAAACAAACTTATACTTAGTTAATACTTTGTGTTATTTATTTGTGTTGTTAAATTTGACTTTATTCATTTCGATCTTTTCTGTCCTCCTCTAACAAATATGAAATGTAATTATGTTTAATGAATTGAATTTTGTAGAAAAATAATAAACAATACAACTTAACCTTATGATGAAAACGTAAGTTATACCCTTTCTTTATAATATCAATAACAATGATTGTGTCTCAATTATTTCAAATAATATAAAATGTTTCTTCTTGTGTATATAAACTTTTTAGAATTACCGCATCATCTCTCCCTCCATGTTATTTATATTTATCTTTTAAACTTTTTTATGCAGGCATATTTATCGATAGCTTTAAGAACTTACATAATAAACAACAAATAAAAAATTACTTTAATTTAAATTTTTATTTCTTTTAAGTAATTAATTATAAATTTTAAAAAAATTTGATTAGTATCAGGCTTTTAACATAATTAAGTTACTAATTTGAACCGAGAGAAAAGATTTATAAATTTTAAACTTGATTTGTATTTATAGCAAAATTTCAACCATAATTAGGATAAATTCGTGAGGAAGTGATATCTAATTAGGATCTACTCTAGTATTTATAATACTAATTTGAACTAAAAGAAATTATAGACTTACAACAATAAGAAGTTCCTATAAAAATTAAACTTAAGAAGCATCATAAAGATTCACAAGAAAGAAAGAAAGAAATAATACAATACACATATTAATGCGACTTTAATCATTAAAATTAAAAATAGAAGGAAAAACAAAATCAATACATAATTGTCTAAAATCTTGTTATATCCACTTCACAAACCTATCAATATTCAAGAGCTTCTTTTTTTTCAAGTCAAACAAAAGCAAAGAGGCATCACTCTTGTTGATATTCATTTCACAAATCTTTCACCATTCAAAAGCTTTCTTCATATAAAATTAAATTTAAGAGGCATCATAGAGATACATAAGGAAAAAAAAAATAAAAAAAAAATAGTACAATAATCATATCATTAAAAAATAGAAGGAAAAGAAAATCAATGCATAATTATTTAAGTTCTTGTCAATATCACTTCACAAGTCTATCATTATTCAGAAGTTTTCTTCTTCTTTTTCAAGCCAAATAAAAGCATAAATATAATACTATAATGAAAATGAAGGGTAACTTTGGATAGAATGAAACAAAAAATATGAATTTATATAGAAAATAATGGAGGAATACCATAAGGTATCTT